TGCCTATTTCTCGTTGTTCGCTTTGTGTTGCCGCAGTATTCGCCACATTATTTAACTTAATTACCAATTCCTAATATTTGTTATTTCTTTTCCTTGATTTGTTTCTTTTCATCAGAAATTGCGCTCAAATTAAATGCAAATACAAAAAACGTGCCCAATAAATAAAAAAAAATGTGATTAGTATTGCCATAATGCAACCCTGCTGCGAGGTTGCAAAATGTAGACGCGTAAAAAACATACCTTTGAGTGTGACAAAATGTAGACGGCGTCGTTTTCCAATTTTGTATGGGAAACAACAACACCACAGATTTTACGGTTAGAAAACGTCTTAAAATGTAGACGTCTACATTTTCAGACACTATTTGGAACGAACTGTGAACACCCCAATTGCCAAGTTTAACACACTCTGTACACTTGAATACTCAAAAGGTATTCGCACGAGGCTCACGCAGGGTTGCACGAAAAAAATAGTGAATGGCTACATATTGGCTGGCGACCAACTTTGTTGGAAGCGATTAGTTGCGATAGGTTAAAAGATTATATTTTGATATTTTTAGCCATTCAATTTTTTTTCGTGCAACCCTACGTGAGTTTAATGCAAAAGTTGCCTGAAAAATCGCCTCTTGCCCCATCACAGTTACAGAATCCAACCTCTGCTCTAAACATGGCATGTTATCTACTATGTTTTGTACAACACACACTTTTTTCTTTGCATTTATTGCTATGACACTTTTCTTCCTCTCTTTTGACGCATTCGAAGCGCGGCTTGTGGCATGAATGTTCGAAAAATTCACAGCGACGGAATCGTGCAAGTTTGCTCTTTAAAACATATGGGTTACATTGTGTAATATTTGGCTCTGCGGATTCGCAACGTCAGAATCGAGCTAATGTGCGCTTCGCTTCAATGTAGCAAAAACGCCGCGTAATTGTTATCAGATGTTTGACTTGACGCATGATCTTGATCGTGTAAAGTCCGAATAACATAATTTTCTGGCTTGTTAAAGTGGCAACGCTAAAATGTCACATCTTAAACTTGGATACGAGTGGCTTTTTTAAAACAATTGAAAAAATTTGTAATTTTGCGAATTTCCCGGAAAATAAAGGTTTTTTTTTAAATTTTACTTAATAAGGTTCGTTTCTGAGTATAGCTAAAACCACAGATCCATTAAACAAAACATTTTACAGCGACTATAATAAAATTATAGTCAAAATATTTTTCTAGCTACGCACTAAACGATATGGCATTCTAA